CATGTAGTTTACTATCATTTCACAATATTTTCATTTATGATGATTTACATGGCGTTTTTGAGAAATGTGAATATTATGTATCCTGTCACAAATTAATCAAAATAAGTTGAGGGGATTCAGACGGAGAGGAGGGAAACAACTTTTTATTTTTTTTCCTCGAAATAACAATAGGGAGAAATAAGTCAAATTAAAGTCATTTCCTTCTTGTGCAACTTTGGCCACTTTATATTTTTCTGTATCATTAATAATAAATAATTATATCTTACTTTTGTGCAATCCTTACAGAATGCTGAGCGTGATAACGAATAACAGCAATCTGCTTGGGTTTCCCTCAGAACACTGCCTGTCAAAATGACTGCAATCAGTAGGACACCAAGATAACCGGCCATCTTCTGACTTCCTGAAGAAAGTTAAGTATTAATGCTGAAAAGAAATCAATAATAAATAGAACATAACACGGAACTGTGAAAAAAGCTTTTGAGTTCTTCTTGTTGTTGTTGAAATGCAAATTGCAATGTCATTTTTTCTTGAGAACTGCTTCACAGTCAGGCCAGAATGTGGGTGAAATTTTATGGAAAATGACTACAATGCCAAACACAGTATGTTATGTAAGGAAAAGCTTGGAATGTCTGCTAAAGCAAGCCATATGAGCGTCTTTTTTGATAACTGCTTCAGAGGCGGATCCAATCTACCTAATTCACTGCCAAACCCCTGTGCATGTTGCTAAATTTTTGAAACTACTTTGCAAATTGGAACTCGTATCCTTACGTAATCCTACCGTAAATATATGGTTGAATAAAGTCTGTTAAATATGAAATTTTAACCTTTTTCCCGCTTACGCTGAAAAGTGTCTGTTAACTTATAAAATTATACAATTATACAATTAACTTCCTATATACATTTCTACCTTTTCGTATTTTCTCGAAAACGTGATAGGATCTGTTATTTTACCAAAGAATTAGACATGTTCATCTTAAACCCCTGGCACCGGCTTCTCAGGTAGCAAAGTATTTTACGGCAATACGACCTGGGCAAACGTCTTCCGGATAAAAAACTGCATTATATAACACACTAGTAATACGTTCGATTTAACGAATCACGCTCGATCACTTCAACCATAAAATATGCTGTTAAATACATCACCCTTCTAATTGGTATAGTGTTTAAATATTATTTCATTATCTCTAAAAAATTTTTTTTGTTATATAATGCATTATCTTACATGTAAAAACACCGCGGATCAAGCTTTTGAAAATCAGCTGAGACGTACTACTCAATAAGCAAAAATAACAAACGGATAAATCCAAGACTGTGAACGCCCTAGATGGTTGTACTGCTAAATGCAAGTCTAAATTTTATACCGGTAGAAACAAATGCCTTTTAGTTTGGTATCTGAGAGAGAGAATATTTCGAATTTTATTTGGCGATTCTCTTTAACTCAAAAGTCCTTCGCCTCAAAGCAGATTGACTAAGCATAAATCTGGCCATAGATATTTCCATATATGCAGTGTAGCAATTTATCGTACAGAGAAGAGGTTGTTTCCGGAGATTCGAGCCGTCTTCGGAGTCAAATACCGCGGAGAAGGAGCCACAATCATAAAATCATAACATCCTATGTTGTCTGTAAAGAAAAGAAAAGCACTAGCAAATTTTAATCACAAAGTAAAGAAAATATACTCACTGGATTCCTGTAAGGCAAACGAGTAAACTGGAGGCACTTGCTGGGTACGAGCTTCTCGACTCGAATGATCACCAATGAATGTCGCAGCCTTATATCACACCTACTGCAAAAGGAATCAACGATATTGCTTTGTCAATCGAAAAACTGAAAAACATACTGGTAATTACCAATTACTTCAAAGTCTCACTTCAGCGAAGTGGAAGTGATGGGGTCTTTTTGATCTCTGTGTGCTATACTTAATGCTTCAGACACTCATTAAAGCTACCTTTATCGAGGCAGCTGCTAATTTCTCGATTAATACAGCACAATATCTTAACTTTCTTACATAACTTTTGTTATTTCACCCTTTTGTTATTTCATCCCTAAACGCGTGTACATGTGGAGCTGTATTTCGGAAGTGAAAAACGTATAATGAGAAAAACGTATGAGTAACTCTAGTCATTGCAATATATGTGCAGCAGTATATAAATATGAAATCAATATTTGGTTTGCTCTCTGTGATGAGAAAAAATATACTGGTAAGCAGTGTATAAGCACTCTAAAGTTGTTCATCAAATAAAGTTATCTTTTTGAATATAATACAGAAAACACCGGTAGTTACAAAGCCCATCAAAGTTCGACATTAAAGGATATTTTTCTTTTGAATTTTTATTTGATGTTACAAACTTTGTAAAAGTAAGCCCATGTCAGCCCCATACTCCATACGGCAGAAGGGCAAAGTTAAATTAAATGTTGAGAACTCTCAACACGATTTTCTTCACTGCACCCTAAAACATTCATATCTTTGATAAAAGGAACATCAAACTGTAGAAATAGAATAGACATACCTTTGGTGATATCTTATTTCAAAACCCATGCGATGGTGAATATCGGTTTACCTTCACCGTCCTGTCAGCATTAATCATAACGTTAAATGGAACTCGTCACCTCTGTCAGGACAACATGGCGCTGATCGAGTTTCATTCGTACAGTATTGAACTTCTGGTGCCGTCGTCATTGTGCAAGAGGGATTCTTAATTGTCCATTTATTGTTAAATTATGTTGTGTTTGGAGAAATTTTAGTATAGAAACATAATTTTTCCTAATGATACTATTTTAAACTGATCAATTTGAACATAATATAACTGAAAGCAAACCTGGACAGCTTTTTACGCGCAAGGTGTTGTGATACAGGCTTACAGCATTATCAGCTTCTGAATCTCTCTTTGAACATCCGTCAAATCCCAGGCAGGGAGGGCCGTAGTCATCCCCCACTCCCCAGAAAGGGCGGTTTCCCCACAATTTTTTTGGGTAGAAATATTACCTTTTATCTGTCAGGAGTCTATTCTAGACGATGATGTAAACATGTATATCCTCCATAATACAATGCGGGGATATTTATGAAGGATGTCACTCGCGGTAGGTGTCTACTTACTTTAGCGACATTATACCAGTTTACTTAATTAAGTTGATTGATGCAAAATCCCTGATAACGTCATTGAATATATATGCCTTATTTTCTAAATTGCGATATAGGGAATGGAAAAAGCGATGTTTGAGCTTAGAACACCCCAACAAGCTAATCCAGGCTTTCCTTCTGCTACTGCAGTTCTAGCTGTGCCCCATGATTTTTATAAATACCGATGAGGAGTGATGGAGACCAAGGAATTCAGCTTAATAGACCATCAAGATCGTTGGGATAACCCCTTGCATCTTCAAGGGGGAACCCGGCGACTACTCTATTGCTTGTTTTAACTGAGGCATGAGCCAACCTCCCCAAACAAGACGGAACTCATAATCTGAACCCTGAAGCCAAATACGATATTCCTGTTGGACTTTTATTGGTAGATAACGAATTTTGTTGGGGATGATATGTGAGCTGTATTATTATAAAGTTGTTATAGACAATCATAATAATCAGCAATGACGTTCGGGCATGTTTTGCATAAGCAACCGTAAATTGCATTGTTATTACATCCGGTTAATTGCTATGACGTTATTTTGTAGACGTCATAGTAAAGAAAAACTTGTACTTTGTAGGAAAATTGAATGAATAAGAAGCAGGGGAAGGCAAAGGGCATCTTATTATTGACAGCCTTAATGTCTTTGCAAAAATAAATAGATAAATAAATGTTGACTGAAAATAGAGTAAACTGGAGGACCAGGCATCATCGATGCCTGCACCAGGCCTGACAATTGAAGAAGAAAAATAGGCGAGTTACATTGTAGGTTTATCTTTGATTTACTCACATATAGATGCGGCCTCGACGTTCTCTAAACTTGCTCTCAAAAGCAAACATATTTATATGATGTTCAAAACGAGGCTTTTATGCACAATGTTGGTGTCTATTGGTGGGCAGTGCAAATGGAGTAGGATTATATTATATACAGGTTCCCTTTAATGGAATCATGCAATGGTAGGCACGTACGTATTTTATAGTTGTGTTCTTTGTACTCATGTGAGCTTATAGTTGGAGTTATATCACAATGTAATAGAGGCATAATATGTTTGTTGGTTTTGGTAATAAGGCCACAGCGCATTTTTTCTGTAAATGATACGGCATTTTTGAACTTAGTTTTACAGACGATGGTATTGAAAAGATGACAAAACAAAAGAAAAAAATATGGACACAGCACATTTTATTCATGCAAAATAATATCTTATAAGTTATACATATATAAATGTTTTAAAATAACGTGTCTCTGTTCTCATCTCCGTTACGCACAATTACTTAAGGAGGGTCGATAGCTACATGTTTTGCCACTGTAATATTTTTTCTGTGTGAAGAAATATCCAAGTACATCACATATGCTTAACCTGCAGAATTACCGCTTTACTGATGTCGTAAGGAGTTTAAAGAAACGGCGAATACACTCGATAATCTTAATATATTACTAAGAATCAAATGCAAAATTGAGTTCTTTGCTGTATACAGATGGTGGTCTTATTTCATTAAATTGACAGAATCGACTACACTGTCGTTGCATGGAAACGTTTGACGACAAGTAGGAATTGCGCACACAATCAAATGACGTAACGACCGATCTACCTTAAATATTATTTGAAACTCAGTCACATCATTGAAATCATATACTTTTATGTAGTCCATGTGTGCACGTTATACGCAATAAATAAATAAATAAATAAATAATAATACATTCAACAACCACAATTGACAATAGTCAATAGTGACTTAACGATAGTCACATGTGTCTCGTTACGTTTCACTAAAAGCTAAAGAACATTGGTTATCTGCAGACTTCTCATTTTGGCTCCCCCTTACTTTTATATCAGGAAGAATGTAAAACGAAGCGAAGCAAAAAAAAAAAAAAAAAATTCGATTTCGGTGCTGTCGGACATGGCAAAAGATGGCAACATACAGTCAGAACACTACCACCATGCAGATTGGTTCATGCAGTACAATAACAAACTGTATGTGAAGAGGTTGAACTCGAGGAGCCTGGCATTCTTTCTCTCGAGTCCATTCATTCCAACCAAGCAAAGGCTGGAGATTTATAGCGATTCCGTACAGCCATGTTGTAACTATGCTTATAAGAAGTCTATTCTTAGAGAACATCGTCATGTACAGGGTACTTCGACAGATCTTGACGTATATTTCGACTGCTTTGTGCAGCTGGAAAAAGAAGGACACGCACAGCATAGCCGTTCCTACGCTTATCTTGGCTATGCAAAAGTATTTTTCAGATGAAAGGTAGTTCAAAGCCGGTACATTTTCCATGAAATAATTGTTTATAATAAATACTGGAACAACTATCAAGCCCGTGAAGTGATCAACAACTGAAAGGCTGATCAAGAGATAGTTTTGTCGTTTGCGAAGTTTGTTAAAACGTAAAAACGCCAAGATAAACAGGGCGTTACCAATAATTGGTGCCAACGTAATAATGGTCTCTGCTGCGATGAAAGGAATGCACTGAGTTAACCCAATGCATAGTCGTGCCTCAGTGGTCGTTTTGCTTTCGTTAAACGTCAAGTTACCAGAAATGTCGGAATCCCCATATTCGTCAAGCGTGTCGTTCTTCATCTCGCAACTGAACTTTTGAAAGGAGATTGTCGTAAAGTTTCCGCACGACTGCCTAGTACTCGTGTCTTGCAAGGGTACTTTACAGCAAGTTCTTAATTGGTCCAATTATCTTTATGTTGACGAAGAATCATTACTGGACCCTATATTAACAACATATTGCGAAAAGAACCTCCACTAAGCCCCTAAAATTGCTTCTATTGTACTGTAAGCTATTAGTACTAATTCATAATCCCATTCCACAAATTTGCGCCATAGAGGTCTAAATTGATATAACGGACCATTTAGTATATAAAAAACAGCACTGTCCAGTAGATTATTATATAACTTCTGTAGGCATTGGAAGCTAGGAAATATTTCAATTTTGGGAGCAATAAGATGAGATCACGGCAATTAGTTTAATCACTTGTGATTAGAAATTGCACGTATTGCAATCGACATGCGTTTTTGTCTATGTCCAATATCCCGTTTTATTTGGAAAACATTATGATTATGAATCTGTGAAATCAGCAAGAATAATGAAAACACTTGAAATTGCCCGTTATGTAATTATTTGACCCCTGCATCGCCAATCTCTGCTTCTATGTATTTCCTTTTTCTGTGTGAATGGAAGTATTTTACACGGGTTTTTTCCCGCTTCCATGTTAAAATTCTTATTCCTTTTTGGCTATCTCAGCTGCCACTATTGTAGCCGTAATAAGAACAATATTTTAACTTTTTACTTCTGGAAAATAATGACGGCTATATCAAAGGCGTTTTATGTCAAAGGAGACCAAAGCCAGGGATGGGAGTGCAGCGTCAGGGGAATGTGAAGACATGGAGCGGAAGGTTTGAGGTAAAATTGGATGGAGGAAGTCTGTGGGCAGTTTTTAGACTAAAGACAAAGCTTAAGGGCAACTCCATGGGATTTACCCACCAAACTGGATTTTATCGGGGAAAGAAGCAATTTTCTCGTACCAATGAATCATTTATCTATCTCTATATGCACTTGGATTCGACCTTCAATTGATTTTTTTAAAATGTTGATTTAGTTTAAAATGACTGGCCAGTCATCATTACCAGAGACCATTTTCCGAAGCTTCGATGGAAACGTCAACATTAGAATGTTAAAAATAAATATAAATTATGCCCAAGATTAAGTGTTTTTCCTGGCCTTTAAAAATTTGAAAAATAGCTTTTAAAATGGTAATTTTTCAAAATTTGCCATTTTCAAATATATTTTTAAAGACTGGCCATAGTTACTTGTTATTGGCATACATTACATGAGAAAGAACATATACTGAGCTTTTAACACCAATTTGTTTTGGTGAATCTTTAACACAAAAAGAATGATCATCGTGGCTTATAAAGTGAATTATAAGATGATGCTATATTATTTTTCATTTATTATTCCAAATATTTTGTGAGTAAAAATCTGATGTACTGAAATATTATTTTTAGAGGGAACTGGAATGTAATGTCAAATCCACCATATGTTTTATCTTCAAAATGCACAAGAGCTAGGATTTCATACCAAAATGAAGCCATGCTGACCAATCATATATCATAATTCTTATATGAGATTTTATTGCCAGGGACTTTTTACATGCCTGTTTACATGCTTTGTTTGTACATGCATTTTTGATTTCTGTAATTTATCCATTTAGTGCTTTGAAAAAAATCTTAGCATTTGGTACCTGAATATCTGATGTATAAGTGTAATTATCAATTGGGCGAATATTGCCTGATAAATACGAGTAGGTCTAACGTCGGACGAGGCGATAATAACCACAACATTTTGTTTTGACTCTAATACATACTAGTAGTACTACAAGTATGCGTCAAAAACTGGACTACACAATCAACACAACATGAAATCTGCACTTAGTGGTTTTGGACAGTATGTTGGTATCTAACAGCTTTCTGTAAAGTGCATCCTATGGTTTTACTTTGATATCATAGATGGGATATGATAAAAGTGGTAAAATCTTGACTATGTTCTAC